TTATGAATTTAAGATGCGTGGTAGGCGAGGAGAGGCGCCGGGCGTGGGTCATTCCATTACAGTTTCAGAAGGATACATTAACGCTGCAAATCCAGCGCATGAAAAGCGAATTTCTTTCATAATCTGTGTACTATCAAGGACCATATGATTTTCTTGGAATAATGAAATCAAAATTTTATGCATTCAAACGATCCAAAATTGGAACTTTCATACATTTATCACTTCAGCGTCAACGCCAACCACTTCCCAGCTAAGTTGTGGATACTGGTGAACGATCCCCGCATCAAGTCCATCTACTGGGACGAGGCGGGGGAGGAAGTGGTGATCGTACAGAGCCAGTTCAAGGACGAAGTCTTGGAGAATCGCCAACTGGACGTCTTCAACACTGCCAACTGGGACAGCTTCGTCAGGCAACTCAACCTCTATCAGGTGACACTAATATGTGTAGTTTTATAATCAGGGTAATTTTATAATGGGTCATAGTCAGCCTTGGGGCCTAGTGTACTTAGTGGTCTTGTTGCTACAGTGCTGCTTCGAAAGTGCCAGCCGTGCTCACCTTACCAAAACAGCTATTCCGATGTCAAGTGATTTCTTTCAAACAAGTGCAAACAATTTCCCACTCTTTATCATTATCTTATAATGTCAACACAAGAGAGAAAGCATTCTAGTCACATAACCTCAGTGTATAGCCACTACATCAGTTCTATTCCTTGAAGGCAAACTTAGATATGAATTTCTAACTTAAGTGTTGTTGTTGTGATTTATCTGTTTGTTTACAGTTCAAGAAGAACATCATGGCAGCCAGACATGAGGGCAACAAAGACATCCATCGATTCCGAAACAGGTACTTCAGCAAAAGCCAGCCAGACCTGACTATGGTGAGGAGGCAGAAGAAGAGGAAGAGGCCTGACAGTGCAGGTCCCGAGGACACACCCAATAAGGAGAATTACCCACCAAGTAAGGAAGATAGTTTAGTCTACACATGACACAAGTTATTTACTGTTTTCTCTATGATTATAACAATCTGGCGGTTCCAAGGCAAAAGGGTAAGAACGGACAAGAAAATGCTATTAGCTCCATTCTCTGCTCCAGTTTTCATTCTTATCATCACCTGCAACATTTGACAGCATTGATGACTTACTGTTTCTATTCTCTGTTGTCCAGATCGTATGGGACCCCCTGGCTCAACACCCTTTCCCCACCCAACGGCAGTGTAGGATTCCGACCAATCCCCGTACCCAAATAGGCCAGGCTATGCCAAACATGCCTTTGGGAGTCCAATGGTAGCATAGCTGTCAACAACGGATGGGCCCCAACCTACAGTGGGGAGAGGCTGCCCCAGTTCAACTCATTCTCCCAGTCATCCCCCACTGTACGGGTACCAAAACGCAGCAGTGCTACCCCTATGGGTGGGCAGTTCCGAGCTCCCTACATGCAGCAGCGTTTACCCACAACCAACAGGTTTCTCCACTCCCATCACCCAGGGCCCCAACAGGCTCCCCGTCCAAACCTACAACTACAGCCCGTATGCCACACAGGCATTCGACTACAGCGGCATCCAAGCAACACCTAGCACCATGGACAGGAACGACTCTGGGAACCAAGGGGATGCAAAGGTCGTGGTGGAGTTCATTGACGAGAAGCAACAAGAGTTCTTGCAGGCCATCAAGGCCATCGCCAGTGTGACTGACTTCCATCCCAAGACAACAGAGACTAACATGATCATCTCCGGGGACATCGCCATCAAGGTGGAAGGAAACAACACAGTGAACGACTCTGGAGTGTGGGACGTCAAGGACAGCATGTCTGACACTGGCTCTCCCCCTGAAAATGCCATCCTTGCAACCATTAGTGGTCCAAGCTCTACTGTGCTTCCCACTGCCCAGTCCATTGTCCAGTCGGGACAAAACCAGGTTGCTGATGGGAGTTTCATCACTCATGCCTCAGAAGCCACTACTGCTTCCAGTAAAGAGAACTGTGTGATGTCTGAGTCTCCTCTTGTTGTCACCTCGTCAGAAAATCCAACATCCTTCACCCTAGTGCCTACCTCAGATGTTACTGCTAGTGCCACAACTGCCTCTGCCCCAGTCCAGGAAACTTGTATCACTGCCATCAAGTTTGTGGAGGACGACGTTAAGAAGGCTGATGCTGATGTGGACAACACTACCACTGACATCAACAACACAGTTGCTCCTAACATTACAGCAGTCACTACTGGCTCCAGTGGTGGCAACCAAGTAGTCTACCAAGTAAGCGCCATATACGAGTACAACACTGATGCTTCCAATGACACAAAAGCGAGCGGAGCAGCTGAAGCAGCATCTACAATTGGCAACCTGGGTGAATCGTTCAGCCAATGGGTTGATGTGCAGCAGCAGCAAGACGTACATCACTTGCCACAACCTGAAGAGCCAACTTCCCAGTAAAATATACCTGCAGCATTCACAGGACTCAAGTTTCAAAGTACTGTTGATAGGCTCAAATTATTATGAATGCCCAGGCAGTTGTTGACTTTTGGAATCACAGACACTCATAAGGAAATATTTGTAGGGAGCTGATTTTTTTCTTTGTTCTGACCTTATCATATTAGTTTACTGCTGGAAATATTCACTGACTGTTATATCTCTGTAACCCTCATATAAGCTTATAATACCTTGGAGCAGGAGTGCATGCAGTTGGAACTTGCAAGTTTTATCTCTTGATGTCTAATTAGGATAATACTATTTAGTAAAAAGTTGGAGATGATACACCTGTAGGGTCTGTTCTGTACATAATGTTTGAGTAGGATTGACATGTTTTCTGAGTAGATAGTGTTGTTATCATTATTCTAGTTATTCATGTTGAGGAAAGTTTAGCCAACTGTTTCATATTTGTCTGAAGTTCAAATATGTACATTGTTATGTATACTGAGCCCTTTTAACAATATGTAAATTTCAAGATGATCATCTATTTTGGTTATGACATCATCTATTTATTGCTGATGAAAAGTTATGTTTGTGAATAATAATATTTATGTGAAGTGTACAAAGAAGGGCACTTAATATTAAGGCAACAATGATGACATCTATTTTTGACTGGTAATATTATATACTCTGCCTCCTACTACAACAGAGCAGAATAAAGTCTCATTGTTTGCAACTGGAATTTGCCTTCTGGTATTTTTAGATCAGTCCAGCATCTTTCTCAGTTGGCACAAATCACCCAATATCTGCTTGGAAATCCGCTATTACCTATACCGCACACACCCACAAATTGAAAGGCGCACGGAAATATATTCATCATTCATCACCTGTTCTACAAAATAGTGGTGTTTTATGAAATATTACATGACCTATGAAAAACAATGAACATCACCTTGTCATTGCAATACTCCGCTATAAGTCTTTCTAATTTGTTATGCATTTCTATCTATTTGTCTCTCTATCTGAAAAGTCCACGTTCAATCGTTCTCAAAGCCAATCCTTGCTATGGTACGGCCCCTTGGGATCCCTAGGGGGCGCACTTAAATTGTACTTCTACCTGGGCAAATAACGAATGTAAAACTATCCAATCAACTTATACGTTTGTAGCATAATGCAAAACCAACATTTCGTAACTAAACATTTAGTATATCCCCCTGTTATGCACAACAAAAGGGTTCCCTGCCTACTATATGCTGATGACTTGGTAATTTTTTCCGAGTCCAAACAGGGGCTACAACATTCTTTGAACAATTTGGAAAATTACTGTACACTTTGGAAATTAAATGTTAATCTTAGAAAAACTAAAATTATTGTATTTACAAAGGGTGGCCGCTTACCCAAA